TTGTTTTAAGCCACTAAGTTTTGGAGTGGTTTGTCACACAGCAATAAGTAACTAAAACTCTTAAATAAGCCTTGCTGTTTCCCTCTGCATTGCCGTTGCCCTGTTCTCTTATGCACTGGCTAGTTTTCAGCCCCATTTTAAGGCAGCTAATACATTATAGAAGTTGTCTGTGGAACACTCGTTTTTGCTCTCACATCTATTTGTCTTCCCCCACCCAGAAGCTCTGAAAGGTCGGAAGTATTACTGTAGAGTGGGGAAGATCGTGCACTGGTCAGCTGCTATTTAGTTTAACCAAGTTACTCCACATCTCTGAGGCTATAAAAATAAGATTGCTAATGACTTCCTTGCAGGGATGTATAGGGATTGAATGAAAGACTGCTACAAGAACAGCTGGCATGGGACTTGGCACATGTCGGCATCCAGTGAGTAGCATCGATCAGAGGCTGGAGAAGAGCAGGATGAATCCCATGTCCCGCTCTCTCCACATTAGTGAAGACATAGAAGGCAGTGGTGAGCCCTCCGTGGGTCCGGAGCAGTGCCAGAGCTTCTTGGGAGAAGAGCAGCCTCTGCTTCATGGTATCTCTGTTTACAAGGAGGGAGGATGGGTGTTCAACATGAAGACAGTCCCTCCAACCACCATAGAACCCCTGGCCCATTTGGGAAATGGGTATCCAGCCTTGATTCCCAAACAAAAAGAACATCACGAGAGCCCAAGAAGGTAGAGAATAGGCCAGGTGTGGTGGCTCACACCTGTAATCCTAGCACTTTGGAAGGTCAAGGTGGAAGGATTGTTTGAGGCCAGGAGTTCAAGACCAGCCTGGCAACATAGTGAGACCCCTGTCTCTACAAAAAACGTTTTTAAAAATTAGCCTGGCGTGGTGACACATGCTACTGGGGAGGCTGAGACAAGAGAATTCCTTGAGGCCAGGAGTTCAAGACCAGCCTGGCAACATAGTGAGACCCCTGTCTCTACAAAAAACGTTTTTAAAAATTAGCCTGGCATGGTGGCACATGCTACTGGGGAGGCTGAGACAAGAGAATTCCTTGAGGCCAGGAGTTCAAGGCTGCAGTGAGCTATGATCACGCCACTGCACTCCAGTGTGGGTGACAGAATGAGATCTTGTCTCTAAAATTAAAAAAAGAAAAGGCAGAGTCTGGGTCTCATTAATCACCTCTATACCCCCAGAACTAGGGGCATAGTAGGTGTCAGTTCCAAGAAGGCACAGAATTGTTTTGTTCACTGCTGTGTCCTGCACATAGCAGGTACTCAGTAAATATGTGTTGAATGAATGAATGAATGTGAGAATGAATGAATGTTGCACTGCCTGTAGCAGACACTGTCAACTGCCTATCCCAAGCCGTTCCCTCCTTTTTTCTTGCTAATGTACTCCTGACTAGAACCAGGTAGCCACATGCCACCCCAGGGGAGACTCAAGATTCGTTTGAGGAAATTAAGTCTCTCCTGTTCCTCTTCGCCAGGGATTGATTGGTCAAGAGGTGGTCATGTGACACCCTTCAGCCAATGAGACATAAGAGAACATCTGCACAGGGAATTCTGGGAAAGATTTCCCTCCAGCATAAAATGAGAAAAATCATTTGTAACCAGAACTGAACACGCCACAGAGGAGAAGCCAACTCTCTGGGGATGGCAGTGCAGGAGCCCTGGCCAGGGAATAACCCGGATGAGCTTCTGAGTGATCCAACACCTGACCTCCAGATGGCTTGATGTCTGAGATAAATGCATTTCTTTGGGATTTCAGCAGATGTTCTGTTACTTGCAGCCAAAGTGTCTTCGCTTGATTCATTGTGCCTTAGTGATATTGTTATGGGCTGAATTGTGTTCCCCTCCAAAATTCATACATTGAAGCCCTAATCCCAGTGCTACAGAATGTGACTGTATTTGGAGATAGGGCCTTTAAAAGGGTGATTAAATTAAAATGAGGCCATTAGGGTAGACCCTGATCCAATATAACTGGTGTCCTTGTAGGAAGAGGAAATTCGGACACGAAAAGAGACACCAGGGATGTGCGCACACAGGGTAAGACCATGTGAGGATGCAGCAAGCCAAGGTGAGAGTCCTCAGAAGAAGCCACGTCTGCCGCTTTGATCTTCCAAACTTGACACCTTAATCTTGGACTTCTAGGCCCCAGAACTGAGAAAATAGATTTCTATTGTTTAAGCCACCCAGTCTGTAGCATCTTGTTATGGAAGTTATAACAAAATACTTATAGCAAATAGCTACAATAGCAAGCTCACACACAAAAGGTGATCTTACTAATAACCTATCTAACAGAGGAAGATAAACGATCAAACAGAAAGTAAGGGAAATAAACTCACAGCACATAATTGCCCCTTTGAATGAAAAACTCACAGTACAACTACCCTTTGTTTAATTAAAACACCTGTGTTCTAACATGTTCTTTCTCAGCCTTGAAGAGCCCTAAGCGGACGGTAGGGATACGAACTCCCCGCTCCAGCTGTCTGCCTCAGAAACAAATTTCAAAGACTCAGATAACCGGGCCTCACAGGGAAAAGAGAAAATAAAGAATACCTACAACAACTTCACTGCCACTTCTGTGATCAGTCTGCTGAAGCAGAGGGGGAAAAAGAAATTTTTTACCCTTTAAAAGCTCCAAGCAGCTTTTTCTCAGCTGCCCAGCGTGTTCACTCCTTCTACTGTGTGCCGTGGCCACTGCTTCCTTCCTTCTCTCTTTCTTTCTCTATCTCTTTCTTTCTTTCTTGGGAAAGTGAATAAACTTTTACTTCTGTATACCCTGATCATTGTGTGAGAAATCTTTCTCCCCCACACCGTGAGCACCTAGTGAGTTTTCCACCCTAACGTTAGAGATATCTATTGTTATACTCAATCTATTACCACCATCATCAAAAAACCTTTTTCTCACTATGTAACTGTCCCTGGGGTGCAGCAGGGACCTGGACGAAAGAGCTTATCCCTGGTGTTATATAAAAATGCAATGACACCAACCTCAGCCTGGCCCTCTCGGGATCCATCCACCCATCGACACATTCACCCATTATTTCATTCAATAAAATCCAGCAAATGCCCATCACGCGTTGGAGCAGCATAGAATTGTCAGAGTACGTTCTGTGAAGTCAGGCTGCCCGACTCTGCTTCCTGACTCCATCTCTTAGTTGCCGTGAGACCTAGGGCAAGCTGGTTGTCTTCCCTGAGCTCTCTAATGTCCAGAGTGGTGCACGTCTCCTAGGATCGTGCAAGGCCAGAGCGAGCTGGTCCAGGCGAAGTGCTCCACGCATGGGCTTTCGCTTGTCCAAATAGACGAAGATGGACAAGAAAGGAGATCCCAGTCATGTTTTCACTCACGTGATTTTATTGTAACCCTTCCAACAAGCCCTGTGACATAGACATCGCCGTCCCCATGTTGCCGAGCGAAGCAAGGTTCAGAGAAGTCACGTGACAACAGTCGCAGAGTTGCCAAATCTCAGGGCTGAGACCCAAACCCAGGTCTTCTGACCTGTAAGCTCTGAGCTCTTTTTTCCGCCCCTGGTGGTGTCTTTTTTTTCCTGAGCTCTTGGCATGCGCCAGACATTCTCATTTAATCCTCGCAAGAACGCAGCTGTCACAAGCTGGGAATAAAGAACTCTGACATGGATACAAATGTTTAGACCAGACAGCGGGGTAAACTGGCACATTATCAGGAGACTTTCTGGAGATGTCGGCCAAAGCAAAGTGCCTTCTAAGGGAATGGGAGGAAAGGGGGGTGACATTGACTGGGAACTCCTGGGGGCCAGACGCTTTTGCTAGACCCTTAACGTACAATAGCCTCGAGATTCGGATATCATTATACCCCATTTCACAGTTAAGGAAAAGGAGGCTCGAAGAGGGTAACGTGGCCCAGACACACAGAAGGACAACGGGAATTTGAATCTAGTATCAACTCAAACCTGTGGCGTCTTTCCTCTGGATCAGGGCTTCTCAACTCCTTCTGCACACAGCAGAATCATCTGGAGACATTTTTCTACAAACTGGTGGCCAGACTCCACCTGCAGAGATTCTGTGTCAGTGGGTGTGGAGTGGGGCCCAGAATTGGCCCTTCTAGAATTCCCAGCCAGGTGATCCAGAGGCTACCAGGGGCGGAAGCACAGCCAGACCACACTGCTCCCGGGAAGGAGCAGCTCCGAGGTCTGGAAACGTGGTCTCAGCCCAGACCCGACAGCCTTCCTCTCAGCTGGGTGGCATAAAGGCCAGTAGCACAGCCTTTGTTTACTCTCCCCGTAGAGGGAATGGCTGGTTCTTTCTTTAAGCAAAGAGTTCAGATGAGATCACTGACTCTCCACTTAGTGCTCACAGCAACTCGAAGATGAATTTTAAGCAATAACATTGCATCAAGATACACAAATATAGGGGAACTCTGAAGTCAAATACAGGCATTGTTTTGCCCTCTTGATAGCCCAGTAAGTTGAACTGAGTTTGTTTTTCACTGTTCTTCATAGCTCCTGAGAAAAATCTTTGGTTCCCTGTCTTTATTTTTTAAATGGGTACACGCAACATTTTTATATCCTCTTCTTCCAAAAAGAAAACGGGGAAACCAAGTTGCTCTTTACATACGATTTTTAGGGGACAGGATCGGAAGCCTTTATTATAAACAAAACAAAAAACATAACACCCTTCCCACCTCTACTGAAGAAGTTCCCCGCGGCCCAGGTCGACGCGCTCAGGGGCTCCCCTAATTCCCAGAGCCTGTGACGTCCCGACCGCCTCTCTTCTTGTCCTTATTGATCATAACCGTCTCCAGCTCTTGTGTCGGATTCTTTCAGACAACATAACTAAACAGAATATGCTGAATTCTTTCCGCCAGAGTAGAACCAGCCAGATACAAGCTTTTCTGGGTTAAGCCAAAAGTGAAACCGGAGAGGGAGAGTGGAGGGAGAGGAGAGGATTAACGATTAGTTATGACACATGGCTTGGGAGTTGACCTTTGAGCAAACGTTTTATAAACGACGCCAGCAGCGCAGCTTCCCCGTGAGTGCAGAGGCACCAGGCCCCCAGAGAGCGAAAAATCATCACCGGCTAAAAGACAAAAAGCAAAAGGGAGAAGCGAGTGGCATCTACAGGGACGGAGATGTGACGGCGGGAAGGGGCAGGAAAGCAGGAAGGAGACCCCGGCGTGTCCGTCCGCTGTTGGTATCAGTCTCCCTGGCACCCCGGGCCATGGATATAATATTTGGCAGGAATAAGAAAGAACAACCAGAACCTGTGCGGGCCAAAGTGACAGGTGAGCATTTTGTATAAATGTTTGATTCTTCCTGTATGCTTAGAGGGACCTTTTTTTTTTTTTCCTGATTATAGGATACTTCTTGTAGATTATTTTGGAAAGTCTGGAAGATGGCATATGGGAAGGAAATGACCCACAATCCAGATGCACTCTCTGTGAAAATCTAGATGTGCGTTTCCAGATTGTGACTCAGATTCCGAGGGGAGAGAGTCACCCTCTCACTGTGGCCAGGAGGAAAGTGGCGGGAAGGCTCCCGTGGGCACATCGACAATGGGCTTAGTCTGCAGAACGCGTGATGCACTTGTGCAAAGGTGTGGTTCCCAAATTAATTTCAAAATACGAAGAGAAGCGTGCGTGAGCGCCCACTCGTGCAGAGGCACGCTCGCAGGGCGTCGCAGAGTCCCCTGGGATTTTCTCTCAGGTCCCCGCAGGTGGGCTTTCAGCAGGTGGTGCTGATGTCAGACAGACCCAGAGTGGGACCTTCTGCAGCAACGACCCTTTGAGGGCCTCGCGTCTGGCTTTCTTCATCTGTCATTTCTCTTGCTTTCTCCTCCTCTTTTGTGTTGTCACTTTGCTGGTATCATTAGCGTAGACACTGAAGGGCAGTCCCCGGCTCTGAACTCTCAGGCCCTCAGGGTTGAATGATTCTCGCTCAGCAATGAGGATGGCTGGTGGCTCAGCTCAGGCACGTGGGCGTTGGCACCTTCTGACGGTTGGGCCGGGTATTTTCCACGAGGAGAGGACGACTGTGAGTGCTCTTCGTGAGAAAGGCCAGATTGGAGCTTTTCAGCTCAGGAATTGCCTTGGGAGTCTTTCGAAAGCAAAGAATAGCCTTC